AAAAAAAAAAAAAAAAACTGCAGTAATGAATGACCGAAATCGTTCAAATGTGTATATAATAAACTTGGATATAATATAAAGCTGCAGCAGCAGTAGCAGCAGCAGCGCAGCATTATATTCAACATTTTTCCGGTGCTCAAACATCATTACACAACTTACTTACTTTATAATCAACATTTCAACTAGAATAACAATTCTTTAGCTGTTTACCTTTTATTAGTCATTTTATTTTGTTTCCAACAATCAACTGAAAATTTAAATTTGTAACAAACAACAGAAACTAAGGGATGTTAAAGTAGTACAACTATACAGTTGTTTTGTCGAAACAAAAAAGAAAACGAGAACGAAAACGAAAACAGTACGGTGTTCCGCAGCAAAAATAAACAAGAAGAAAAAAAGGAACTGAATATGCGAGGAAGAAAGCAACAAATTCTGAAATGTGAAACGACAATGAACAAAATTCAGCACACCATTTCTATTTTGTCCAATTCACAATATCACTAAATTTTTTGACAACAAATCGATGGATACTTCGTCTTTTGCAACAATTTTCCTTCCTTCTTTTTGTTTTTAACGTACGTGATAAAAAAAAAACTTTTTTTGTTATTGTTTTCCCTTCAAACGATATTCAGATCATTGTTTGAAGAGGTATAACATACAGTTGACATGTAACTGAATCTTTGGACTGGATTACTTGTTAAAAAAAAACTGTCACCAGAATCAGTTTATTTACAAAGATAGCAGCAGCAGCACCAGTAGCACAAACCGTCTTCCATCTAGTCAATTGACTGAACTGAATTTAAACGTGCAAGTGCACATTACGTGGAACATTGATTAAAACAAATCTTTTCACTAAAACTATTCTTAGTTTGATATGTACTTTTTTTTTTTTTTTTCTGAATTTACCATTACTTTGCTCCTTTTCTATTTTTGGAATTTCATTAACTCCAAAACTACTGAAAGATGCTTTTTGAAATGACAATAAGCATCCCTCTTGATACATTACAGAGTGAAAAGGTCAGCAGCATTTACACGAATTATCACTGCTGTCGGCACGCAAACATTCTAGAGGTATTCGTATTTCTTTGTCGACGTTGAACGTTTAATTTGAAAACAGTTGATACCTGTATATTTGATGATTATCGCATACAAATATCAATTATAGTGTAATGTAACTGAATAAATCTAAAAGAAACATTGGACAAAATTTGTTGCGCTTCAAAAATATGCAGCATAATAAAATCAGAAAAAAAAAATATTTTCAATTTCGAGATAATCGTTACCCAATCATTCAATACGTTGTTTGGTTGCTAACAGCAGCGATAAATCAACACTGATTCCCTCGAACATCTTATCGACAAGTTTTTTCCCTAGTTGACCCTTTTTCTACAAATGAAACACATACATCAATGTTGATCTTTTAGTTTGAACTTTGGCGTCTCTGGCAATGCAGTTCAAAATCCCAACGATAAACCAGCTGATCAATAAAATTTAAAGCCAATAAGGTCTAAGTGCCTTAACTGATGTCTCGACATCATCTGTCAAACAGCAACTGGTTCTTGTTTTGCAAAATCCTTACACAGAGTACAACAAACCACTAGACAGTAAAAGTATTTTGCTGAGAACAACTAAAACCAAACAAACTGCAATTAATACACAAACAAAAGCTATCTTCATCATTATTGTCAAAACTTTTTTCTGGTACATATCGTGTAGTTTAGCTTCTTCTTTTTCTTACTAATTTGTACTTATTACACAGTCAGCCATTTTTCCAACTATATCTTCTTTTTAGTTTGTTTTCCACTCCAACGACTTCTTTGAGAATTGCTTTAATAGAAGAGATACATTTTTCATTGTTCCAAAGCATCGGTTTTCCTTAAATTGTCATCGGGATCAACATTCCCTCTATAAATGCCATTCGTAGGTTTTTTCACAAGTAAACTGTTGCGCATAGCATACATATTACAAAGCAAATGAAAACGACTAATTGACGAGATAATCTTAAACATCCATTTTTTAGGCTACTAATTGTTTCTTTTCTTCACTACCTATTACTAAAACGTTCTTGAAAATAAAAAAAAAAAAGGATACAAAAACAACTTCTTCTAAAACTTTATATTGTCATCGGTTTATTATCAGCTTTACTATTCAACCGGTATATGTAACACAGCCGTAAAAGTTCTTTTTCAACATTTCTGTTGATGATTACTGTGCAAAACAATAACCATCTCGAAATAACTGAAATGATCTTTAGACGTTTGTTCAACCACTACAACGACTACTGTTTTTTAATGACGATCGCCCTTATCATGGTAGTTCTTGCACTTCTGACTGTTCAGTAAATCTAATTTTCTGCGAGCAGAACAGATAATTAATTAATCTATAGCTAAGATACTAATAAAAAAGCTCTTTTTTTGACAAACATAGGCAATGACTAAGCAAATAATCAAAATCATGAGGGATGTGGTGTATTATTTGTTGTTTCAAGTAACTGGGATCTACTTTTACCATAAACTTTGTATGTTCCTTACCGTTGAATTGCAGCATTAACGGGTCTTTTCTCGTGTTTCAGCCGAGAAGAAAAAAAAAAGGAAATAAATTACGCTAAATTCCTACTGTCTATTTGATGAGACACATGTCAATCTCAAAAACGATCCCTTCATTCTTCGAGGACTCAATACCACACAGTTCTTGTTGCAGCGTCAATATGTGCGAATCTAAAATCTAAATACAAAAAAAAAAAGCCACAGCTACTGTATCATCTATTCTCACCTCCGTTACCTCTTACCCTACTACTTCAAAGTATTCATAAATAAAAGACACAGCTAATTTATTTCCCAAGTATTTCAACCTTTAAGTCGTTATAGTGTGTATTCAGAAGTTGACATTTGGTTTTCAAACTGTCCAACTATTAAAAAAAAAAACAGAATGCAAACAACCTTCTATTCTGCCTTTGGAATTTTTCAAAGAGACCTAGACAGAGATCAAGACAGATTACTCGGCACTAAACAAAAAACATATATTTATACCAATTCAGTGGTATACCACCAGATAAATCTCAGGCACATCGAGATAAACAACAAAGATTTGTGAACGCAAACTAGTGGATAAATTGCATATACACAGATTTTTAGGGAGCGGATGCTACAGAATCTGTATATGATGATAAACTTCAGTTTATCAAAGTGCAGCCAAAGCAGTCTTCAGGTGGAGGAGTAGAGGAAAACAAAAATTATGTTGCAGTTTCCACACACAAATTCTTTCGCATAGCTTTATCGTCTTCTCCAGTTTCACTCACTTCAACTTATCATGAGAGAGAATCTAAAGAGATAATTGAGCTACCGGGTTGAGTAGGTGGTACACGTCTCACTTCGTATACCTAGTCGCGAAGCTGTATGCATAGCCGTTCAGTGAAAAAACCTTATCCGGCTATCTTTCCTTAACAACTGGCAATAATAAGGCTGATTGCAGATGTTGCGTTGATAAAGGTAATTCAAAATAGATTTTGACATTATACCAACATTTATTTACCAATCTGTTACACCGCAAAAACTACGGGCGACCGCAAGTTTTAAAAGAAACTTCATAGTTCAGGGCTTTTTCTGAGATCTATATCGATGTTACCTGTGAGTGTAAGTTCTAGACGGAAAGTGCACTTTTTTGATTTACAGGAGAACTCAAGGCGCCTTTCAACTACAGTCAACATTTTAAAGCTTCTTATGAAAAACCCTCTAATCTTCTGTTAAAACTGCCAAAAATTTTTCATTTTCATCCGCACTCAAAAAAACCTCACTTTGGAGCTGAAATTGAGAAATTCATCGTTGTTCTGGGAGAAAACTAATACTTTTTTGATATAAAGCGGAGAAATGAATCAGAACGTGAGGCTGCTATTTAAAGGTAGTTTTATAATCAAAAATTACTCAAGTTCAATCAAGCAGTCTGCAGAAATGCCACCGTCGTGGTCTTGGATATCTTTAAGTACTTCATCCTTTCTGAAAACGGAATGGTATTATCTGTTCATACGTAAATAACGACAGACTTATGTTCGTACTCCTACTAATCAAAATTATATAATTTCTTATATGATTCTGAAGACTGTTTTTGTGGATCGGTGACAGATAATAGAATTTGGAAGGCGCGTTGTGCTGTCAAAGCTCCTGGCCCGTTCATAACTTAAAGTTGTTTAATGTAAAACTTAATACTGTAGATGTCTTCGAGGTGTTTTTAAATTCTTACGAATGAGTGTTTGAAGAAGTAAGCTCAGTCCAACATGGAAAAACAAGAAACTTTCTAATCAATTAAAGAGTAATTAATAAAAGGAGCGTAACTTAGACAAAGAAGGAATGATTTTGTTTATTTTAATCCAAACACTTGAGGTATTTTTTGACACCAGTGTACCAGTAAGGTAGCGACATTTCTTTTTGAATCACTAAGAGCCTAAGAAAATTCCATATCTGTCGAAAGGTGTCTAATGAAACTGATGACCTGTCTAAAGGTTATCACTAAATCATAAAGTGAATTTCTTGATTTTTTTTAGGGCATTTACAGAGGCCAATAATTTCAAATGAAAAAATTCCAAACTAAGTCTTGAAGAAGGTCCACGGTAGCTGCCGTTCTATGTCAATTTTATCTGCTGTAACGTATCTGAGGGAGAGTGTCTTCAAAGTCTTAGCTCATGAATACGAAGCAGTTACGCTGAGTGACTGGTGAACGTTTAATTCAACAAAAATGTAATTATTTTTCAAAATTCCGCAATTGCTACACCTGTATAATTGCTGTTAATTAAACCGCCTTATATGTATCCATGACTGAGAAATATAGATAAAGCAGGAGCTCTTCATTTACTGTGTCTACAGTACTTTCAAGAAAAGAGATGGTTCTAATCTAAAGCCAACATTGCACCACTTCATCGTACTGCTACGCTAAATGTCAACTTGCAGTCGACTAAATCAACTGTGTACCATTCGAATAAAGAAAGGTACAGTAATAAAAAGAAGGCAGCTATCATCTGCAAAGCAGTTTGGTGGCAAATTGTTCATACCATTCAGAAACTCTTACAGTACCTTTTATTTAGTATTTTTATAGACCTCTAGATATCCTGTTTCCTTGAAAATGAGTTCAAGAATTATCCAAGAAACAAGGAACGAAACAATATACGTAGGAGGTTAGAAGTAAAATTGCTGAAATAATAGGGGACTGCGGGAAAGTTGCTTAGTCTTTATCACTATTTTGAAAGCCCTTAGATGCCTTCATATATGGAAGTTACTAAAGCCATTTTAAGACAGGAGGAGCAAGGATGAATGTAGATAACAGAGCAAGATTTACCAGTTGTGAAAAATTACTCGGAAAAGAAAAAAAATTACAGAGTGAATACCAAACAAGCTGAAAAGTTGCAATAAAAGAAATGACAAAATGAATTTTTAGATTAGAGAAACTGAGGTGGGGGTAAGGTGAAACGCGCGGAAAAAGACAAAAAGCGAACTGTTTAGCAAAGAAAATAATGCGGGTAAGTTACTAGGTTAGCCTTGTAATGCATTTCTCAAATTTCCAGATATCGCCCATTTACAAAGGCGATTTGCGGATGAGCTGCACCAGTACCGGAATCAAACAGAGGTAGTGAAAAATGGGCTATTTTTTGGAATGCTTCTTAAGTTGCACAGTTTGCTGCCACAGGTAATATCAAAAATTGAATTGTTCACACCTACGCACTATTTGAAAACGGTTAAAAGCGTGAAATAAAACTTGGAAAAAATAAAGGAACAGAACCTATTATAAGATGTAAAGAAGAAAAAACAAATGAATAAACAATCTCTTTCAACTCAGGAGTTTAAAAACAAGATAAAACCAAAATGTGGTTTTCCTAGCGTCCGGCTGGCTCAGCGGTTTTCCTCAAACTTGGGTAATCAAACCTTTATTATTACAGACATAAGATTGTCACCAGTTAGTAATAAGCAAGTAAATTGATGCATTTTGACATATGTAACAAGAATAATAAAAGCTGAAATTAAAGGACAGAAGTTGAAACGCAGGTCTACTCAAACTGTCCTTCGACCAACGGTAATTCAGAAAGCATACATTTCGCCCTAACTGTTAGTAAACAGCGACCTATTCATGCGGCAGTTGTCGTCTAGCCCTCTGGCAACATTGCCTCAAGCTGAGCTGATCACTCCGCTTTACCCTTAAGTAGTCTACCAACGATAACGCTTCGGACCGACCAAGTTTGCGCTCTAAGTTCCTTCCGAGCAATTCTGCATTCCTTCAAGATGACTGCAATTGCTATGCAGTAAATTGTGCTGACGTCCGCTCTCTTGCCCAAATCTCGTATCTTGGTCATCGTGATCTGCTTTTTCTCGGGCTAGTTCTGAACCAAGGCAATACTCTATCTGATGTGCCTCTCTACTCTGGTACCAACAGCGTCGTGACGGCTTCCATAATGTTTGGCTCTTATGGCGAACTACAGCCAAATTGCACTCACTATTTCTTTTTTGTGTTCTGGTTGTAGCAAATCTGCAATTCTAGTTGATCTCGTAACTTAACAAGTAAGAATTATTATAAAATTCTTTTTAACCTTTTTCTTTTTGACCCATGTAACCCAAGAAAGAGTTTTCGAAAGGGGGTGACATTGTGATGCGTTCTGCAGGCAAGCGTTCGCAGGTGCTTAAACGGTTTCGCTACGACAAAGGAAACAGTGTTGTTTCAAGACCTTCCGCACTGTACCGGTGCCTTTTTGTACTCAAAAGTTCTTCCTAAACTTCGTCAGCATTATGTGCTGCATCAAAGTGCCCGCAGCTCTTATGTGTTTGCAATATTAACAGCTTTGTGAACCAAGCGGAACGAGGAAGATCAATGGAAAAAAATGCTAAATTTTTCAACCTACTAAGACGTGGAAGAACTCGCAAAAAACCGTCTCTGTCTTGCCATAACTTCTAATTTTGACCATTTTCTTTTTGGATCACTGCTTGTTTTCACACAAAGTTTAATTTCTTTGTCGTTTGTGTAGCTTCCACCAAATCTGGCAGAATGAATGGTCCGCGATACAGACACCCATTTTGAACTTCCCCATGCGTCGTATCCGTTGAAAGATCAAAAACGATGTGGAGCTTCATGGTATTTATGTTTGGCATCAGAACCGAATGATGTCCAACCAAACCGCTCTCCAAATTTTCCAGAGCCACTTGTAGCGGAATTTACCTGTCCCTACAGTAGCTTAATTTGAGTTGACCTATAGTTCGAGTATATCTACTAAATTTCGGTCAACTCCACTTTTACCGAGGCACCGTAACTTACTTCAAATAACTTTGAGAGTTCTTTCATATCGAACTCTCTATGATCAAGGCTTCACATCTTAAACTTCATAACCTAGGTTAGTCTGGTGTGGAACTGGTAGGCGGATACGGAATAAGAATTTACTTTGTTCAAAGGAAGAAAGATAATATATTAGATATGCAAATACCAAACCAATTAAAACAGGCATTTAATAAAATGGGTCTGTTCAGGGGATGGGTTAAACAAGGTAGACTGAGAGATGGACTCAGGGAAGGGAAAAATTTTATGTAATTTTAAAAACAAATTTCAAACGCGTAATCGGAAAACTTGCCAACATGTTAAAGAGCTCCAAGTTTGGACAGAGTATAGAAATGCGAGGAATACAGTATTCTACAGAAGATAGATTTCGTTTAACCGATCAGAACTGATTTGACAGAGACAAAATTACAGTTCTAGCAATTATTAAACAAACATCCTCTTTTGAGTTATTCTGCCTCGTAGCTATCCCTGAACAGAATAAACCCTTTGTTCTACAGTAATAAATAAAACAAACAACACACAATCCTAATTACTGTTGCCTCCCGGAAACGCTTTGTTGGGCTATTTTGTGTCAACAAAACCTTGCTTGCATTTCCTTTAAAGAAGTTTTCTTACTATCTTTCTGATGCCATTTCAGTTTTGAGTGAAAGCGCCGACACCATTTCAATTACTCTTAGTTTTAGTTACTCTTTGAAAACTTTGTCACACCTCTTAAAAAATCCTGGCTTCTTCTTAAGTTGCTCAACAATACTCTCCAGCCCTTCCCGGTTGAGACTGGAATTTAGTTGCTAGGTGCACCAGCTTGTCTCTCATGGCCAGCTTACTAATTAACGACCTAATATTTCTTGAGAAAACGTATTCTTTACTTGCTCCCGTGCAAGCTGATCCCCTCCACTCACATGCGAATCTCTAATTCCCATGAAATCCAGCCTCCAGGATTCATTCACATCTAAGATGGCACAGTAAACGGAGACTTCCTCCTTTCCTCGAACCTTAAGTGGCCTTTGCTTACTATCATAGAACCTATGATGGTGTGCACCAAGAAAAATTCTGATTTTAATGTCTCAAATCCTTTCAGAAACCGGAAAAAGTAGTCGCTTAGAATCAAAATTTGAGTTTTATCCAAATTTTGGCTACCACCAAAACCTCAATTACGAATTTTCCCGGGTCAAATTCCGACATTAGTGATGATTTTTTGCTTTTGTAAAAAACTTTACCGCGTTCAAGGATACAATTTTTTTCGGGATTTTTCGTGTTTATACCGATGGAAACAAAAGTATTATCCAGTTTCTTTTTAACGATTAGTGCGTGTCAAACCTGCCTAATCTCAATGCCCATTACTTTCTATTCCTAACCCAAGACGGCTAACTACCTCTTCAACAACGTAAGACCGACCACTGCCGGTGTCGAACAGAATTAAGACTCTTTTTTCCTTTGCTATACTGCGAGGGTCTACCACATCTGCTTCCCCAGCGAACCAAAACGTTGATTTTTGACCTGTTCGTCCTTTATTTCGGATACACTGCCACCTGCTGCACCACTATCTTGTCTCGAACCAATGGCCAACTTCTTTCTGCTTCCCCGCTTACTGCAAATCGAAGGATAATGTCGACCATTACACTCCTCAGATATAACTCTTCGCACTTTGCAGTCTTTCATACGATGATTTGGCTGTAGGCATTTGAAACGCAAGTTAAACTTTTACTTTCTGACGCTTTCCTTCTGTACTTTTCTTTTGTATATACGTAGTGAAATCTTTTGCAAGATCGTCTCTGTTACAAAAGCTGCATACATTTGCAGCTGGTTTCTTTCGCGCTGGCATTCCCATCATTGCTGAAGTCTGATTGATCTGTTTTGCCGCTACACTGCTTAGTTTACTACTTTGTGTGCTGATCCTTTGCCAAAGGATCCTCTTTTGACCATAACCATTGATCTTATCCTTGCGATATGCAAGCTCAATTATAAACTTACTGAGATTCTTTACCGAACATTGTTTAGCACTTTCTTTTGCTTCATAAAGCTTTTCTTATACCTCTCCTGGCAAATGTCACGACTAACCAACAAATCTTTTAAAGACGAGGGACAACTACTGTAGTTGGCCTTTTAATATGCCCTATTGAGTCTTTAGTTCCTTATCTACTTTTGCTGTGGACACAGTTAGCCTCTATGCCTCACAATATCGACCGATAGCTCCTTATACTAATCTTCAGATCTCAACCTCAAGGTTTTCGACCTGCAAGAAGCGGTCTTAAACTAAATCTTAGGCGCTGCAGACTCAGCAATTGCTTTATGTTTAACAAAGAATTTATAATAAGCTATTTATTTATTTACCGGAAAATCATTGACAGCTATAACGTGCTTACAAATCAATTAAAGAAGGAAATGCGAAACTAAACTGATAAACGAAACGTTATTAACTAAAAAAAGAGAAAATACAACATGAGTATTACAGGCACTTTACTGCGTTCAAAGCAACTTATACCAAAATACAATCCAACGAAAGAAACTGTCTAACTGGCACAACTAAAGTTGTCTCCAACAAATTACTTGACGGAATGTTAAAAGCATGGCATTGAAATGTAGGGATTCCAAGAAGAAGTCAATATGATTGAAGACAAGACTTGATTCAATCAATCAACAGCAAGAAACGATTATTAGGAATATCTTACCCTTTTAGAACTCTCATCTTCGGTCTCTAGTCAAGTCTGCCGCACGTCTCAAAGCTTCCTTTTGGGTAGCATGCAGTGACATCAGAGTATTTGCCTATGGCTTTCGCGCATGGTCGCGACACTCTGGAGACCAGAGCGAACCAACAGTGCTTCGCACAATTTAAATTTTAAGGTCTCGTTCTAATTTAACATAAATAAGTAAATTTCTATGAAAAAAGAAAAAAATTTAAGTAAAATTAGGAGGGAGAGACTTGAAAAATACAAGAGTAAATTCACGTTAAAATGGCACATCACAAAAATGTACATTTAGTAGTTTTATTACCAGTCCTTAAGCAACTTCCTGTTGATTCTCCTGAAAAGGTTGCCTCATTTGAAACTTTTTCAAAAAGAAAATATTCTAAAATGAAATAATAAAATAAAAATAAAAAGTAATCGACTTTTGCCAATAATAAATGAAAAAGATAAAGATAAAAACCTAAAACTTATTAGCACTCGCCAAATTTCTGCCTAAAGAAATATTGACAGTTTGAATAATAAAAAGTTTTTAGGGTTGAATTGTTTAAAAACAAAAAGAAAAACAAAAATTTAAACTTATGGTCTTCTATTTATCCATTAACAAAATAGGTATTACTTTCTCTCTAGTGAAAAAGATACCTTTTCAGTAATTTTTCGAACCTCCTTAGGAACGATCGGGTATTTCTATATCTTGTTAGATAAGTAGCCCACACCGCCAAATGTCATAGGACCTCTTCAGCTCCTGTAATAAAATTACCCTCTCTTGCTCTAGATAACGCTACTGTGGCCCCGCTGTAGATTCAAAAGAAATTCTAAATTTTAGAGTTGCGATTTTGCTCCTGTTGTTATGATGATGCTAAAACCGCACTTAGCCCTTGGTAGCTATTCTATTTATACTAAAAATATTTGGCTGCAAATCCTTACTCTCTACACTTTCTGCCGAGGCACTGTAATACCAGAGTATAACCAATTCAGTTTTTCGTGCTCTTTCCTTAATATATTGATTTAATGCAAGGGGTACACTATTCTGTATTCCATACGTTCTTTGCTTTAATTTTACGACTTCTCCATGTGCTATGTCCTCTACTCAAAGCACTAAAGGCAAAAGCATTCTTTCTTCAAAGAATCTTATTGGTCCTGCTAATCCATCAACTGTAATAAACGCTACCACCTGCCTAATTGTCGCGACAGCACGCGAAAGGCCACCGCCCCTAGCAAAGTAGTGGTCTCTGATCTGCTCCTGAAGGGACGCCTTTGGAGGGTAGACAGTTGGTCACTATCTTCCCGACAGGTATTTAAGCGGAGTAAATCGATCTCAAATTATACTTCTATGAACCTTAGACTTTTACGGCTGCTATTGACGCTTTATAGTCTTTCAACTTTTATAACAATTTTCTCTGTTCTTTCAAACTCTTTTGATTTTAAACGTGCCAATTGGCAGCTTTTCTAGTTATTGTTTAAAGTTTCGTTTGTAAGTCAATAGTTTGATATCCATTGTTTGGTTTTTAATTTATTATAACTCTTTATCTATTAGGTGAGACTTGTGACTTGTATCAAACGAGTCTTCCTATTGCAATATCATCATCTCAAATATACAGCGAGTTGTAATATACATAAAGTCTTTTGAGTAATAAAGACTTATAATTTAAGAATTTAGTCCACGCAAACGATTACAAGTTTGGTAACCAACACTTCTGTTGGTCCTCTGAAAAGTTGGTACTGTAAGCACCGGCGGCTACGATTGTTTACAGCAGATAAAAGTAGAAGTCAGGTCTCTATAGAGACATATTTAAGGGAGAAACCGCCTCCTCAATCGAAGAATAGTGTCGGTAGTCGCGATACTAATTGTTACATCATCAAGTATTGCTACTATAGGAACGAGTTGAGCACGGTACAATGTGTAGTCCTTTGTTCGTACAGGTGCCCTTAGCCTACCTTGATGTATGAAAGAGCTTATGGTGACCTCACCTAATAAAGATACACGACGAGATACCCTTTCCGATTTTCCAACTTGATAAGACTTAACCTTAACTTTATCGGAGGGACTAAAGACAGTTTCCGTGTCTAGTTGCATTATTTTCCCTTTTTCATGAATACTGTCGTTTTTCGAATCGTCTATGTCAAACACTACAGTTGCATAATAAATACCTTCTAGTTTGCGCAGCGACGTAGAAAGTATCCCTTTCTAATTCAATAGGGTTCCCCATACCCCTGTTAATGGCTTAGAAGGTTCTTTTCCATAAATTGTCATATTGAATTAATGAACATCAAAATGTTTCAAAAAAATAAAGCAAAATGCCACGTACAGTGACATCAGAGTATTCTCCGAGGCCAAGTCTGATGGTCCTCCGTTCCTTTTGAGGAGCCTGTAGTAAAATCAGTGTCTGCCTGCGACATTTGCGCATGTTCGCGGCAGTAACTTCCCCTCGATCACCAATGCAATCTGAGTGTGCTCTGCATTTCGTTCAAAACTTACTAATTCAAGATTGCTTCTACCTGATCTGTGAGGTCACTGAATTCTGCGGCACTACTGGTTGCAAGCTTGAAAAATCATTGTGCATAGGTAGCTTTAGCCGCTTTGATTGACCAAACTTAGCCCTGCGTCCACCAATAAATCACGATTCTCTAATTTTAATGGAAAACGTTTCCTAACTATACTAGCTTTACCATTTAATCGTGATGACAAATACGATAATTTTTCTTTTGGTATTTTTTTAAAGAACTTATTATTGTCTCATAGCGAGCCCGAAATTTCGACCATCCTTTAAAATCCCCAGAAAATGATGGGATTTACATATGGAAAAGCTGACAAGTCATCTGAAATGCAGGAGACTTATCCTTCATAAACTCTAACGCCTAAAGCAGCTTGTCTGTGGCCGCTATCTGCGCGAGTCATTCACTCATTACGCTTCTGCCTCGCCCTGTAACCATCAACAGCCCATCCTCTTTAGCTAAATTTTCCTCACAAATTTTATTTTTTATCTCCTTTTCTTCTTGAAGCAGTTGCTGTATTATCTGAAGCCATTTCTCGTGCTCATCCTCCAGGATTCAAATGTATAACTTAATCTGTCAGAAATTAACCTCAAAATCTTTTCAAAACTTTCAATAGGTCGAAATTTTCGAGTCTACGTCCAAATACTTAGCGTTATCTAGTCCTATTTCTTTTCTCTCAGATGCAATAACGCTGTTTTTGGAAAAATTAGTCCTTTCTAAAATTTCTTGAAATATCTAAAATTCATCCCTTTTAAAAGGATTGTACTAACAACCTGTTAACTGCTATGGATCATACGCCTTATGCTTCCTAGCAGTTCAGCAGTTGTTGCGGTAAAATTAAAAAAGTAAAAAAAATGTCAGTTCACATAAAAAAATTACCAAATAACCGGACCCAAACCAGAGAAGGGCCCTAGAAAAATCGTAATCGACACAATAAAAGCAAAAACGTGTACTCAGCTAACTTTTTAATCGACAAGCGCGCTTTCTCCACTTAGCTGTCCCAAGTGCTTGACACTTTAACCTTCCGATAGTTATTCTTGCTCTCAAGCTAGAAACAACAAATGGAAGCCAACGTTATTGCTGGTGTTTACATCAGGCTTGCCACTTCATATTTGTGGTTACAGGAACGCACCATGTAAAAAGTAGATAGTTTTTCCTAGCGCTCGGCTGGTTCAGTGATTATCCTCGAACCTGAGTAATTAAACCTTTACTACTACAAACATGACGTCGTCACGAGTTAATAGCAAGCAAGTAAGTTGACGCATTCTCACAAACATAGCAACAACGATTATAAAAGCTAAAAATAAAGAGTAGAACTCGAGGCGCAAGTTCACTAGGACTGTCCTTCGATTAACAGTAAATTAGCAAACATAAAACTCGCCCACATTGTTAGTAAACAACCACCTATTCATAGGGCAATCTCCGTCTAGCCTTCTGGCAACATTGCCCTGAGCTGAGCTGATCACTCCGTTTCACCGTTGC